GTAAGTCGATTGTCATTATTTATTCACATCTGCAAACTTGGGAGACTAATGACCAGTGGTGATTCATTTTATGAAAATGGGAGGCACAGAGGGCCAAAATTTGCAGAGAGAGGAATTAATATCATGCCATGATTCAATGTTTTTGAAATGTGGATTCAAGATTTCATCCTTATTATTTTCAAGCAATCTAAGAAATATTAGTCAACAATATGTTTTTTATGTGTGAGTTTGAATCATTCAGTCAAACGATTCATTCAAAACTCTAATTCATTCAGCAACAAAACAAGTGAGTGAGTCACTGAAAAACTCAACCGATTCGTTTTAAAATTCATTCAGAAACGAAAAACACTTTGTGTTGCTCTGAGATGCGTGACGCTTCTGCTTTGACATTGTTTGGGACTGTTACATTGTCGTATTAAGTAGCTGACAATATTGTGCCTAAAATGTAAGTTACTCAATCCACTTTATTTTTAACGTAAGAGAAGTTGTGGACCTTTTCAACTAGAATGTGTATGGCTTCCGGTGTCAGACGATTCCAGTTACTTTTGCTGTACAATAATACAGTTAAGTAGTATTTATTATCATATTATTTTATTATCATTATCATAAACACACTAGGTTTACTGCACTGTTATTCTAATTGTTTATTTAACATCTAAGTCTTGAATGAAATCTTGTGCATTGACAGGATATCGTTTACTTCCACATTGAAAATAAAGGTTGTTATTAACTTCTTTTTTTATTGAACTGCTGCATAAAATCAATATTATAATCACAATCTTGCAGTATTTCAGTACACTGCAGTATTTATAAATACTGCAGTGAAACTATACTTTTCAAGATCTACATATTCACAAAATAAACCTCTATGAATTATAGATCAACCTTTATAAATGAATTGGCTTCCCTTAAATGTCCATTTTCCACTGAAGCCAATCATATTTTATCTGCAATGTCTTTATGCTAATGACAGCATTTCAACAATAAGGATCATTACTCTGACTGAAAATACACTAATCAATGAAAATGATGATGAAAGTGTGAAACTAGAAATGTTCACCCACCCTTGGTTCATTCAACTCAATTTAAATCTAATCTGCTCAACATCCATTTAATTGTGCAGTCTTAATGAATGTAATGCAATGCAAAAGCTGCTTTTTAACCTTTTAAACTCCCACTGGGTGCAAGGAAAAGACTCTGACCTGACACGAAGGGCTTATATTAAAATGTCTCGTCCTAGACATATTTTACGTGACACAACTGATAAGACTATTATCCTAATGAATCTTGGCTGTCAGTACTTTTTTGCAGAATATGCTGAGGTATGTAAAAATGAGTGCAGATGAAGAGGGGCCTCACAAGGTGGAAGCAGCCCTTTAATTTGTATAATCTGGTCTAGAGGAAGGGTTTGTCCCCCAGGGCAGATCCCACCTGCTCATATGGCACCAAAGATACCAGGAAATTACTAGGCCATGGTTTATAAAGACATAAACAGCTGGAGTCAGGTAGTCTAAAAGCAGCTGAGATGCTTTATGTGATCAGATTGGTAATTATGTGACTGGATCTTAAAGAAATAGTTTAATAATAGCTGGAATACCTGAAATTTGCTGAAAACTTACTCACCCACAGGCCATCCCTTGCTCACCAATGGATGGTAAACGGGTGCCAACAGGAATGAGACAGCTTATAAAAACATCACAATAATCCAAAAGTAATCCACATGACTCCAGTCCATCATTAATGTGTTGTGAAGTGAAAAGCTGCATGTTTGTAAGAAACAAATCCATCAAGACATTTTAAATTCTGTCCATAATTGATAGTAACACTTCCTCCAGTGAAAAAACCTATCCCCCGTTGTCCTCTCACATCAAAATTCACAGACATATTTGTTTAGACCAGTTTTAGACTGTTTTCGCTTGTAAATAGTGCATGATCTGTGCATATTTCTCTCCTGATTCAGATTAGAAAGCAATATTATGGATAGAGGACTCGTATTTTAGCCAGAAGCAATGGTGTGAATTTAAAAACGTCTTAAAGTGCCCTTATTATGCCATTTCGAATATTGCCTTTCATTCAGTGTGTAATGTAGCTGTATGTGAATATAAATGATCAGCAAAGTGCACGATAAATGAAGTTATTGTCTCCCAAAAGAAAGAATCGACTCTGAACAGCCTAAACGAGTCATCGGTAATTTGAATCTCACCTATGTTCTACGTTGGCTGGGCGCGAACAACTTTAGTACAACCCCAATCTTTTTTTGTGTTCCTGTCATTTTACTGACGACTGCTTCTCTAATCGTGGGGAGTTCAACACGGGATTCACAAAACGCTTGCTCTTGAAAGATGGCTCAGTACCCAGTTTATCTGGATAATCCAAAAGTAATCCACATGACTCCAGTCCATCATTAATGTGTTGTGAAGTGAAAAGCTGCATGTTTGTAAGAAACAAATCCATCAAGACATTTTAAATTCTGTCCATAATTGATAGTAACACTTCCTCCAGTGAAAAAACCTATCCCCCGTTGTCCTCTCACATCAAAATTCACAGACATATTTGTTTAGACCAGTTTTAGACTGTTTTCGCTTGTAAATAGTGCATGATCTGTGCATATTTCTCTCCTGATTCAGATTAGAAAGCAATATTATGGATAGAGGACTCGTATTTTAGCCAGAAGCAATGGTGTGAATTTAAAAACGTCTTAAAGTGCCCTTATTATGCCATTTCGAATATTGCCTTTCATTCAGTGTGTAATGTAGCTGTATGTGAATATAAATGATCAGCAAAGTGCACGATAAATGAAGTTATTGTCTCCCAAAAGAAAGAATCGACTCTGAACAGCCTAAACGAGTCATCGGTAATTTGAATCTCACCTATGTTCTACGTTGGCTGGGCGCGAACAACTTTAGTACAACCCCAATCTTTTTTTGTGTTCCTGTCATTTTACTGACGACTGCTTCTCTAATCGTGGGGAGTTCAACACGGGATTCACAAAACGCTTGCTCTTGAAAGATGGCTCAGTACCCAGTTTATCTGGACCAGCTGGCTCCACTGAATCACACCCTGTAAGCATGAGAAATTCTATCAAGATTTCTATCAAGTGTTCAAAATACGGATCACAACAGACTGGGCCATCTGACCAATCAGAGCAGAGTAGCACACAGAAAGGAGGGGTTTAGAGAGACCGAATCTTAGAATTGCTTCGAACGAATCGTTTGAGAATTGTTGGAAAATTAGGTGATGTTAAATGCATATTTTGAGAAAATGAAAGCGTTTTTTGACCTTGCATGCATGTAAACCTATTGTAGGAGACTCCCAAAACAATATTAGAAACCTTAAAAAGGGAATAGGGGCACTTTAAAGGATTAGTTCACTTCCACAATAAAAAGTTCCTGATAATTTACTCACCACCATGTCATCCAAGATTTGTTTCTTGAAAGAAAGATGTCTTTCTTTCTTCAGTCGAAAGAAATTAAGGTTTTTGAGGAAAATATTCCAGGATTTTTCTCCATATAGTGGACTTCAATGGGACCCAATGGGTTGAAGGTCCAAATTGCGGTTTCAATGTGTATGTGGGTCCTGTAGCTAATTTTACATAATGATTACAAAATTTGTCTAATTTTTAAAAAAGGTTTTTATTTAATGAAAAATTAGCCTTATTAAATGAACTATTATTTATAAGCTTCTTTTTTCCTTCTTGGGCCTGAAATGGAGGAATTTTGGTCAATATTGATAATTAAACAATATTTTGCTAAATGTGCTTTTGTGCTGAAACCTTGGCTGGTTTAGGCTTGTCATAGATAAATTATGATGACAATAAAACCACCAGTAGGTGGCAGCAAGCCCCTGTTTTGATAAATGATTTATTGAATCGTTCAAATCAAACGATTCATTCAAAACGGCTGATTCAATTAGAAACAAAACAAAAGTGTCCATCTGAATGGGCCGTTGAATCACTGGCTCACTGAAGCTGCTTGAAACTGCAATTTAGACCTTCTACCCCTTTGGTCCCATTGAATTCCATTATATGGAGAAAAATCCATGGAATGTTTTCCTCAAAAACCTTAATTTCTTTTCGACTGAAGAAAGAAAGACATGAATATTTTGAATGACATGGGATTGAGTAAATTATCAGGAATTTTTTTCTGGAAGTGAACTAATCCTTTAATGTTGAATTTGTTTCTTACAAACACGCAGATTTTCACTTCAGAAAAAGCACACTTGGCAAATGAAGCATATTCTGATTCTGATTTGTGGTCAAAAATTACACACTGCACCTTTAATGCTCAAAATAAACTGGCAGTTGGCACTTCCCCCCTTTTGCCACCTCAAGCATAAAAGTGAAAGTGTGAATTTTATTTCTTTACAGATCACAAATGTGCGTGAGGCTAGACGACGAGAAAAGCGGAGAGAAAGAGAAGCAGAAGGAGGTGGTATCAGGTAACTCTTTAGATATTCACGACCAGATCACTGAATAGAATGACACACTAGAGGATTAGAGGATCATGGGAAATGAGGAGACTGGGAGACACAGGGAATGCACAGTCTGAATGGGGCAGAGGAAAGAATGAGAGACAGAGAGGAAGCAAAGATGTGAGAATTGCTGACAAGGCCAAAAGCACAACTATTATTATTGGCACAAACTGAGAGAAATGATGCATTAGTGTTTCTGCACGGGCTGTACGGGATCAAACAGCATGAGAGGAGAAAGATTCATCCTCTTGCTGAGATAACTGACTCATAAGTGACTGAATGACAGAGTGGTGTGCGGATCTGTGGCTTAGTGCACATGGAGAGCATCAAGAAACTACATCATCGTGACTCCTCTGCTGTCAAAACCAGCTAAAACTGAGTCATCCGAACTCAGCATATGCAAATCAGCGACTGACGCCGCACACATACATACCAAAACAATGTTTGGGTTCAGTGTCATTACCAGCGTTCACTGTGTGCTGTACACAAACACACACTCACAAACACACACACTCTCAATTTGCACTTACCTCCTCCACAGAAATCGGTAGGATCACTCGACTGCAAGAGAGCAAGAAAAACAAATTATTTAAAATCTACCAGTAATAAGCATGTTTGCTCTATCATTATAGCTATTACCATCATGTCTCTTAAACTGCAGAAATTAATAGGATTTTTCTTTGGGCACTATTCTGACAATTTCTTAAATGATTACCACAACATACTCAGTGAAAGTTTGAAATAAATACGTTTTTTAATTATTTCATGGCTGCATTTATTTAATCAAAGTACAGTAAAAACAGTGATATTGTGAAATATTATTACAAATGTTAATGTTTTCTGTTTTAACATATTTTAGAATGTAATGTATTACTTTTATTATGTAATAAATGTAATTTATTCATTTATTTATTATTACTACTATTATTATTATTATCAATGTTAAAAACAGTTGTGCTATTTTATATTTTTTGTGAAAAGTTATACTTTTTTTCAGGATTCTTTGATGAATAGAAACATCAAAAGAACAGCATTTATTTGAAGTAGAAATTTTGTAGCATTATAAATGTTTCTGTGTTACTTTATGTTTGATCAATTTAATGTGTCCTTGCTGAATAAAAATATAATTTCTTTTAAAAAATCTTACTGATCCCAAACTTTTTAACAGTATAGTGCATTTTTTTTTAAACAAATAAAAATATATAAATGCTGCATTTTTACACCAACATAAGTACCCTAAAATATCAAATAAGTATAACTTAAATATAAAGCTATCTTTGCACTTTTTCCATTAGACTTTTGACAATTATTTTATCACTAATGAAGTTAAGAAAAATTTCTCAGTGCACAGTGGAAAACAGTGTTTGGGAAGCTGGCGCTAATGTTACATACCCTCTGTTTCAAAGCAATTTTGTTGATATTTTTCCACAGTCATTTTCAGCTCATCTCATATTCCTAATAAACCATAACTTACAGCACTTGCAAAAAAAATGATAAAGAGACTATAACACAATCTGTGCATCAGGACCTCCTTGGCTTTGTCTCTTCAACACATGTTATATTTAGTGGCTTAACGTATCAGAATACAAAATGAACCTGTTCATATTAGCAAACCTATAAAAGCTATTCCTTGTCAAGCACATCTCTGATATCTGTGTACTGTTTCTGGATGGTAGTTGGCAGTGTAACAAACTCTGTGCAGCTCCCATATATAATCAATACTTCTTAGGAGTAAGACAACACCACTACTGTGCTCCAATCCAGCACAGCTCTCTCATTATCTGCCTTATGACACACACACACACACACACCCCTCAGGACTGTCTACATCTGACTTATGAGGGCTTCTGTGACAGGACACATGAGCTTGTCAGGAGGTCAAGGACCAGGTTCACCTTTAATGTAAGATCATTGGCAAAGAAGTCCATGCTTTGATGAGAATAAGAGGTTAGGATAATTCTGATATTTTTACTGGAAAACAAATCAAAAATACTGATTATGAACATGATTCTGCAGTATATAGTCCTTTTGCGCTTGAGGGAATTTCTATCCTCACCATATATCAGATGCTTCATAAACTCAGAGGGAAGTCTCGCCATTTATCAAATGCCATGGTCGCACAGGTGTGTTTTACTGTTTGCTGTTAGCGTCTGCTAATAGCAGGAGTCACCTTGCCCTCCTGAGTGCTGCCTGTGTCCTGAACAGGGACTATCGGTCACCGTGCTGGATTTGGTGTCTCATGTACTCTGCCTCCATGACACCCAGGCTACTTTCTGCATTATAAATGCCTTTGCCTGCATGGCAGCATTTCGCTGTATAAGAAAGTCTTTACTTATTGTTTCGGTAATAAGACAATTAAGTTTACAAATAGATTCTGAAATTCAATATTCAGCTGAAAGGTCAGCTTCACTATTTTACTAAATATGTGAAACAAAATGCATTCAGACAGAGATTAAGACATAATAATGTGACATTTCATAATTTATTTTTGAAGTTTTCTAATGCATCTTATTTATATGTTATTATTATTTAGAATAATATTTATGATGTTACCTTTTTCTTAAAGGGTTAGTTCACCCAAAAATTAAAATTATGTCATTAATGACAGAATTTTCATTTTTGGGTGAACTAACCCTTTAAAGCCCGTTTTTCAGTCTTAAACTATGAAAATCCATTATGAAAATATGAATCATTACATAATTAAAACTATGGTCATCTAAATTTAAATAATCATAAACCATTTCAATATTTATTCTGTGAAAATGATTTTGTAACAAAAAAAGACAAATGGCAGAATTCACATGGATTTTTATACACTGTTGGATGTTGTTAGTGAGACAAACGAAATAAACTAGTTAAGAGATTATTTTCTAAAATTTCACAGGCCAGAAGTGTTGAGAAATTCCCATATAGATTGTAAAATTGGCATGGCACGTGTGACTAAAAAGGTTTTATGGCATATAAGTTAAGTAGGAGACCCAGAACACATTGTGTCTGAATCCTGGAGGTGAACTGGATCACAGGAAAGTGTCACCAGAGCAGTGAGAAAGAGGCACACAGAACAAGAGCTCACTGCTTTAGCTCACATAGCCTACAAATAGTAGACTACTTATGTCTAATAAAAGCACAAAAATCCTTATATGTTGAGTTTAATGCATAACATCCATAGGCTTTTTTATTATAAACATCAAGATTTAAGTTTAAAATTTATATGGATCTCATTCTCATCTCAACTATCCAAAAAGAGTATATATAAGGAACATTTAAATTGGATTTTAATCTGTATTAAATACAACTGATCAGAATTGAAACTCAAACCACATTTCAATTCCTGTTAAAGGTCTAATTCTTCACCCAAGGGTATTTTTAGTGTTGAAAGTTATTTTTTGTGCATTAGTGAAAGTACCATGGACAGCAAACCCTGAGGGACCTGAGGTGTACAAGCATCCACTTTAGAGCCAAGAGAACCGGATCCTCTTAACAACGTGCCATTTGTTATTATTCGTTTATTATTGCCGTAAGCTCATTTCTAAAATATGAAGATTAACACTATGTCATGTTTTTATTTAAAATCATAAGCTACATATGATGCATAATGGACACCTCGTTCTCTGCGGAACCCTCTCTATTCCTTGAAATCTCCATGACGTGGCTGAAAGTGACGTCAGAGAGATGCCGGCGACGAGGAGCGTATGACACATGATAATACGTTTGCAGCGCGTCCTTGTTACATGCGTCGCGTTGAAGAGATTCAGCTCGTGGCTGAGTCATTCAGAAGATGTGTGCGTGCTCATTCCTGCAAGAACCCCTCAACAGGGGAATTAAAGAGAAAGAGGTATTTCTGATAGGGATAGTTCACCCAAAAATGACAATTCTGTGATTAATTACTCACCCTCATGTCTTTCCAAACAGTACCACGACACATGCATGTGATGCTGCTTGACGCAGGAGCCGGCGTTCTGACGTAGAACACGGATGTGATTTGTTTACAAGCAGAGGAATGCACACGCATGTGTCGTGGTACTGTCGTGAATGGTGGTGGAGACTGACCGGAAGAGAAGAAATCATTGAATAAAGTCGTTATTTTTGTTTTCTTTGTGCACTAAAAGTATTCTCATAGCTTCATAAAATTAAGGTTGAACCACTGATGTCACATGGACCATTTTAACGATGTTCTTTCTACGTTTCTGTGCCTTGAATGTGGTAGTTCCCTTGCTGTCTATGCAGGGTCCGAAAGCTCTCGGATTTCATACAAAAATATCTTAATTTGTGTTCCAAAGATGAACAAAGGTCTTACGGGTTTGGGACAACATGAGGGTGAGTAATTAATGACAGAATTTTCATTTTTGGGTGAACTATCACTTTAAGGACAAATGTAGCCTGTGTCCCTGCTATGAGAAAAAACAGATGGTTTGCTTGTTAACTGGTATAATGCTGGTGTCCCAGCCTAACCAGATGAAAGTGCCCTAAGTTTACACAGTAACCAAAGAAGTTTACTTCAGAGTGCGCTATAACTCAAGCGAACAAAAATCGACTTTGCGTAGGGAGTAACCATGGCAATAGCCATGGCCGGATTTACCTCTTTTCGTGACATAGGCAAAACTAATTTTTGGGGCCCCCTCCCCTATTAATATAATAGGCCTAATATTACCACCCAAGCAAACAAAAATATTTCTTAATCAGTGGAAACCGTTACAGTGTTTTCTATCGCAATAAGCGCTTGCGTTCAGTCAATAAATATCGAATGTAGGTTCTTAATTTGTTTGAGAACTGAGAAAGACCTTTCCATTAATAGGCGGGGCGACGTGGCAACATAACCACTTCGGGAGTGCATTATTTCTCTAATAATTTTAATGGCCTGCAGGCTAACGCAGTTATTAGAGAGAGAGAGAGATTAAGTGCGTGTGAATACTTGCGTCTGTGCGTCTCTCAGCAGTATTCAGCAGCAGCATCTACTAATAGCGAATCTTTAAGTTGAACTGCTTCAAGAACCTCGCTACTGAGAAATGTCATGTAGCTTTTCAGCTGCGAAACTCTTTTATTGATAAATTCGCGGGGCAGCCACAGCACTGATGACAAGTTTCTGTCCGCGTCTCCGCGTGTGAGCGCGAGTGCATGTCTGTACTGTGTGTGTGCGAGTGTGAGAGAGAACGGGAGAAAGAAAGCATGATTTCCGTACATAAAAAAGGTTGACGACATGGAAATAGTTTGTCAATTTTACCCTATTGTTTGTTATATTTATTTGCTCAATGTCTTCTGGGGTTTTGGTTCTTTTACTGTTGTAGATATCCCATAGTATAACAAAAATATTATATATCTCTTCATTGTGTTTGGGCCCCCCCTGGACGAGCAAGCATAGGCACGTGCCTAGAATGCCTATGCGTAAATCCGGCCCTGGAAACAGCTGCTCAATCGCTGTCTGGATCTTGTGCTAACAAAACAAAATTACTGTCAATATTTTTCACTTTATTAGAGTGGGTTTACACCTTTAAATTTATCGCGTTTGTTGAAAACGTCTTTGCGATAGTTTGACGATAGAGGCGCCAAAATACGATTTGAGTTCCTAACAGACTCCCTGAAAATTACTAACAGAAATTATTTTTTATTTAAAAAATATTTATTTAAAAATAAATATTTATTTATTTTATTTTTTTTTAATGTGTACACTACCCAAAACCCATCTAAATCCAATAAACACGTCAGAAAATATTATGAATTAGGCTATAATATAATCTGCACTGTTTGAAGATGAATAAAGCCTCATATGGTTTCAGTGACCTTTCTGCCGGTGCCTTCTGTGTTTGTGGGCAAAGAAAGGTTATTAATATTTCAAAGGTGACTGGCGGGGGGAGGTTTGGAGTATATTATCAAGTTATAGTTCGTCGCGCGGTTCAATGAAACATGCGCAAGGTGAACGGATCCAGCTGTTCTGAAAAGCGCGGACGGTTTAACGAAAGTTTGAATATAGCCAATCTCATGGCCACATGGTGATGAATGATCGGGATGTTTCTGAAAGTATTAGTATAAATACACAGGCGTCATTTAATATCGATACGCGGTGTGCTCAATTCGCTCCGTTTCACCTTCACGAGCGTATCAATAACACAATGACAATTAAACTCGGTTGATGGGATATCTGTGCCAAAACATCCTCTTAATAGCGTCTAATTGATTCAAAAATATATATTAATATTCAGAGGTAATGTTATAATTGCACCAGTCAAAACGTCACAGGCACGTTTTAAACACACATAAAGTGTAGCTACTGTAGGCCCAGGTAAATTGATAAATATGCACCAAAGCCATTTATATATTAAATGTCTCAAAAAATATTCACGATCAAGGGTGAACTTTAAGTGTGAACTGTGAGAAAGTCAAGTTTACAATGTCGCCATGGCCTCTGGTAGCCTACCTGCGCTGTATGGACAGACAGAGGATGCTCCCACATCACAATCAGATCCAAAAATAACGCTGCACTTACAATTCTTTAATCAGCATTTTCTCCAGTGCTTTCTGCCTTCCAACGATAACGTGGTTTTGCACCTGGATGAATCCAGATAGGTGTCGAGTCCTGCGTTAGTCCCGGTGTCTCGGTCTACCCCACCTCACCCGCTTCTATGTCATTCTAGGGACCGTTTTTCTATTTCCCACAGATTCACTTCCTGATCTGGCCGAGGGGGGCGTTAACGACAACCCCTGATGCTGTGACATAGAGTGATGACGTCATGGGTGATGATGAGGATGGGGTGATCGTGGTCAGCCTTAATGCATTATTAAAAAATAATAATAATAATAAAGCCCGGGGACGCTCGTTGATGGATGGTCTGAGGTGGTCGCTTGTGTGATGTAACAGCTGGTGGTCGCATAGCTCTCTATCAGTCAAATTACAATCTGTCGCAAATGATGTAACGATAAACTGGTGCAGTCTATTTATAGCACATCTGGAGACAGATCCCACCATCCGATTATTTTCATGTATTTACAGTATGATCTGCCCTCCATCAAAGCGTTTCTCAAAACATTAAATACAGTAAATAAATACAGTGTCTCCCATCCACACTGTTTGTTTATATATTCCAAAACTAGATGTATTTGTTTGTGCAGTAGACTTGTAATCTAATTATGTATAGAGCATTTTAGATCTGATTTCAAACTTTAAAGAGGAGTCAGCTTTTCTTTTTTTTTCTTTTTGATGCCACTTAAGTATCCAGAATTATGATGATCCCTGAGAGGAATAAAGGCACTTATATATTTTAATTTATAAAAAGCTAATTTATACAATGTGAGAAAAGTAAGTGGGATATATCAAAGAAAATATACATATAACTAAAATATTTTAAATCATTTAAATAATAAATAACTTGTTAATGCTTGTACAGTACAAACCCAAAATAAAATATGATCTAATTTTTCCCCACAAAACTATAAAGATATTTTTAGCTGTGCTGTTAGGTCTGTCAATTAATCACAATTAATCTCATGATTTATGTTATTAACAAGCAGAGCAAAACTGTTGTTTTGTTTTGTTTTGTTATAAAATAAGAAAAATAATGTGAAATTACAATTGAAATATTCCGATTAAATTCTATTTTAAATAATTAAAATAATTAAATAATTTACTTTTATTGCATCATTGTAGCAAAGCCTAAGTAAATTATT